TATCTTTCTCTTTCCATTTTTGAGCAAAGGCTCTTCATGCCACTGTGAGTATATGCAGTAATAAATAATTTGTATCTTTCTTATATTTTCTTTCTATAATTCCCAGTAAGAAACATTTGTTGACAAAATTTCTTCCCGCCGGTTCTTTAGTAAATTCCAAAATTTTTGCGCTTTTGGGTAGCTTGGTGGTTTTCTTGCAGGCATTTCATGCTCTAATTTATGAAGACCAACTGGCAGTTAGGAGACATAATGAAAACCCCTTGATTGCACAACCTGTGGACAGAGTCAACCCTGCCTCCAACTGGGGAACTGAGAACATCCTAGGCCAAACCAAGACCAAAAACGCAAGAGTATTTCTGGAAGCCTACCACTCAAGCACATCGGCCATAAACCAGCAGGTAGAAATAAACATCTAGAAATAAGCCCGGCAGGAACTGGGTGTGTCTAATTTAAGGAAAAGAAGGACATGATAGCAGTCTTCCAATCTTGGGTGGGTGGGGGCAGCCACAAAGAAGAGGGAGGGGGTCAGTTTATTCTCCAATGCACCAGAAGGCAGCTGATGGAAACTGATCAAGCAGAGAAGCAACCTGGACCTAAGGAGAAATTAACAGAACGATTAATCAGTGGAATGGCTTGCCTTGCAGAAGTGGTGGGTGCTGGAGGTTTTTAAGAAGAGATTGGATAGCCATTAGTCTGAAATGGTCTGGGGTCTCCTGCCTGGGCAGGGGGTTGGCTTAGAAGACCTCTGAGGTCCCTTCCAATTCTGTTCTTCTGACTTCTCTTTCCTAGAGTAAGCCATGCCTACCGTAACTTTTCCGAGAAGTACCACCAGAACAGAGACCATCAATGCTCTGGCAATTGGGAGCCTGTTGTTGGCCCTTTGGTGCAGCCTGGGGGCAATCCGGGAGGGGAGGGTCCTGAATGGAGGTTCTGCCTTGACCTCTTCCTGACTTTTCCTTCTCAGCTGGGAATTCCTTTCGCTTGGTTGAGCCAGGCAACACAGACCGTTTCAGTTTCATAACAGCTCATCGCATGGTTGTGTGTGTGTTTGTGTGTTGTCATTCACTCAGTTTTGGAGAAGTCATATTCACATGTTCCGGCCCACTTGAGTTGTAATTTTCTAGAACGGAAACACATTCACTCCACACAAAACAGTCCACCCAATTCATCCTCTTAAAGTTCAAACCACTAACATTAAAAATAAATAGTGCTGGTTGCCTTGACTGCTCGTAACGCACTTCCAGCGCGTGTCAATAATCAGCCACGCTGTCCTTCCGCTGATTCTGCGTAGCAAGCAGCCCTTCCCTTCCCTTGTGGTTTTCCCACCAAACATTTTCTTGGTAGATGTCTAAGGAGTTTCTCAATCCTCCAGGTCATCGTTGTCCCAATGGTGTTTTTTCCAGAAGGCAACTGGATTTTCTTGGGGTTTTTTTCTTGAAAACATTTTGCTTCTCATCCAAGAAGCTTCTTCAGTTCTAACTGTTCTGTCCTTTCAGCAGTTCCAAGAAGGCTCCACACCAATTGGCAATATTCAGGTGACCCTGAGGGCAAGAGGCCTCAAGGACTCTCAGAAAGAGCACTAACGACCAGAGGAGCATAAATCCTTCCATCCTCCACCCTTCAGTCAGAACCGAAGAAGCTTCTTGGATGAAGTTTCTGGTCCTTATTTCCTTTGGGGCTGTTTGGGAAGGAGCCCTCTGCCCCGTGGCTCTGGGAGGCAAGGAAAGCCAGGCTTGGCTGCCTTTTTATGATTTGGTTATGGAGTTTATGGGCTGAGGAGAGCATCTGTCCATCCATCAGTTCATCCATCCATCCATCCATCCACCCATCCATCTCTCCATTCATTCATCCCATCCATCCATCCATCCCATCTGTCCTTCCCTCCCTCCCTCTTTATGTATGTCTATAAACACCCTGAGTTTATTGCTCTCTGTGCACATATGAACACAAAGACAGGTGTGCATAAACTCCTTGCCACCCCCTGCCTGTCTCCATCGTGCCAGACGTCCTGCTCCCACCACTTCAGAAGGCGTCCCTGCCCAGAGCCTCCGCCTCTTCCTTCTCCTTCTTCGGGAGCCGAGAGGGAGGGAGGGAGGGGGGGGCACAGCAGACACTCCCCACCGTATTAGAAAAGCAGGCATGCTCTCTGCCTTCAAGAGGCCTAGTGGTTAGCTCTAGGGGCGCATTTTCAGTAGAGGAAGGTGCCGGCTACAATGGGAAGTTTGTGAATCAGTGCTTTTCCTGAAACGGCCCATGGAGAGGAGTGAGCCAATCCTCATCGTGTGCAAACAGGCAGAGAGGATTTGAGGCCCCCAGGCAGGCGCCTTCCGGGACTACAACTCCCAGCCAGTCCCAACCCCGATGCCGCCACTAGAATGGAGATGTCAGAACTCAAAACGGGAGCAGGCTGCCTTCTGGGAGACACAATTTTGGCTGAGATCTCCATAGAACAGCTACACGTGGATTCTGGCCCTACCTTACAGGGAGGTTTTAAGACTAAAGAAAAGAGGAGAAAGCTGCCTGGCTCTGCTCCTTGTTGGGAGGCTCATCGGACAGGAAGTTTGTACAGGGGGTCCTCAACTTGTGACCGTTTAACAATGGTTTAAAAGTTACAATGGCCTCAGAAAAAGTGAGTTATGACCTGTCCTCGCACTTACGACCGTTTCATCACCCACATGATCACATGGTTGCAGTTTAGGCATTTACAACCGACTGCCGTATCTTGCAGTGATCCGATTGCGGTTTGCAATATTCCCAACCAGTTCAGGATAACAGCTGGATTGACTTAACGTCCGGCTGATTCATTTAACTGCCATGGTGAAATGGTAATAACATCGAGTCCGGTTATGTGATGACTCTTAACAACCACGCTGCTTAGGGACCAAAATTGTGGTCCTAATTTGAGGGCTACCTGTAGGAATAACAACTTCAGGACAAAGTGCCAAAAATGGACGAAATTTTCTCTTTTTTCCCCATAAATGGAAAAAAGATGACAGCTTCCAAGGATTCCTTGCAATGTCCCAAATTCTTCCACTAGGAATCCGTGTGTTAATCTGGGTCAATGTTTAAAATACAGCAAGTGAAGTATTGCCCTATAAAATGTAGACAATCCTGTTCCACAACTTTTCTCTCCAGGGTAATTAAAGCACAAAAACTGGGGGAAAAAAAAACCCCTGTAAGATACAGGTAGTCCTCAACTTACAACCATAATGGAGCCCAAAATTTGTTGCTAAACAAGGCGGTTGCTTGAGTTGTGCCCCATTTTATGACCTTTCTTGCCACAGTTGTTAAGGGAATCGTTGTTAAGTTAGTCACATGGCTGTTAAGCAAATCTGGCTTCCCCATTGACTTTGCTGGTCATAAAAGGGGATCACATGACCCCAGGACACCGCAACCGTCATAAGTATGAGCCAGTTGCCAAGCGGCTGAATTTGGATCCCATGACCACGAGGATGTGGCAACCGTTGTGTGAAAAATGGCCCAAAGTCCCTGTTTCAATGCTGTTGTAACTTCGGTCACTAAATGAACTGTTATAAGTCGAGGTTTACAAGAAAAAGGAAGGAAGGAAGGAAAAGAATTCTCCAAAGCCCAACCCCCTCCCCCCAAGCAGGACAACTGGCTCATACTTATGACGGTTGCAGTGTCCTGGGGTCATGTGATCCCCTTTTATGACCAGCAAAGTCAATGGGGAAGCCAGATTCGCTTAATAGCCACGGGACAAGAAGCAACAGGTGGAAACTAATCCAGGAGAGAAGCATTGGAATTAAGAAATTTCCTGGAATTAAGTCTGGAATGGAATTAAGAAATTTCCTGACAGGGAGGACAATTAACCAGTGCTTGCCTCCAGTTGTTTGAATGCTCCACCACTGGAAGATTTTAAGAAGAGATTGGACAACCATCTGTCTGAAATGGTACAGGGTTTCCTGCCTCAGCAGGGGGTTGGACTAGATGACTTCCAATGTCCCTTCCAACTGTTCTATTTCTATTTCGAAAGAGAGAAAGAAAGAGAGAGAGAGAGAAAGGAAAGAAAGAGAGAGGAAGGAAAGAGAGAAAGGAAAGAGAGAAAGAAAAAAGAGAGAAAGGAAAGAAAGAAAAAAGAGAAAGAAAGGAAAGAAAGAAACCGTTCCAATATATGGTTCAGGCAGAAGGATCAGGCTAAGGGTCTAAAAAGGACTGTTGAAACACAAAGACAATTTTAATTTTCATGGTTTTTTTTTTTGGCAAGAGAGATCTGGCAATCAAAACTGCCCTCACCCCAAAAGCTCTCCAGGTTCCCCCTCCTTCTCCCCTATGTTCACCACTGGGACACCCCACCCCCCACCATGGGGGCTCCTCACAGAAGACCCTAAGAGCCTGCCTTTGTTTCCTTCAACCTTTAGCTCTTCCACACTCCCGGGGGTTCCCCCAAATTGGCTGGCGTCATCTTCTGTTTACAGAAGTGGTGCTATTTTGAGTAACGGAAATGATCAGCACTGCAGGCCGGGATAGCGACTGCCTCAAATGAAGAGGAATTTAAACTCAATAAACTTGGCTTTGGGAGCTGGCAAAATAGGAAATCTCTCTGTAGAGTCTGCCAAGATGGGCTAAACTTGTGTTTCTCAATGTCAGCCGCTTTAAGACGCCTGGAGCCAGCCATTCCTCTTCCTGGCTGGGGATTTCTGGGAGTTGAGGACCACGCAGCTTAAAGTGGCTGACATTGAGAAACATTTGATTAAAAATCTATTTAAATGGAAATCTATTTAAATCCAGCCTCTTTGCAAAAATCCCAGCCCCCCTCCAACTGAGGCCTATAAAGACCCCAAACGTTTCTTCTGGAAATCCTCCCAAATGGATTTGCACATAGATGTTTTTTGCTCCTAAGACAGAGTCGCTGCCTCTTTCTGTTCTCTCCTTTGATTTTCCTAAGCCTTGGCTGAGTTGGGTGGCTTGGGAAATCAAAGAAAACAAAAATTTCCAAAGCAACAATGATCTCCAGGCCAGTTGCAAAAACAAAAGAAAAAAGCAATTTAGCAGAATTTATTACACGTTGTTTCAAAAGGGGTGGGGGGGAGAGAAAAAAATCCATCTGCACTCTTTAAGGATTTGTCTACAAGAAAGTTCCCTGTTGGCAGTAGGTTGCACAGGGGGGGCCAGGCTGTGTGTGTGTGTGTATGTGTGTGTACTGGACACATCTGGAAGGATGCCAACCATGGTTAGGAATGACCCCCCAACCGTCCCAGCTTCCTCCCCTTGCTGGAGAGAGCTCTGCATCTGGACCCCTTTCCTGGTGATCCAGGGAAGCCCATCACCCCGCTATTCGTGGGGATCAGGGAGAGGCTGTGACCGGCTGCAAAGCTTCCCCTACGAGCTGATGCCCAGGAAAGCGAGAGCCACGAAGTGGCAGAGACACAGCCTGGCCCTTGTCCTGTGAGTGGCGAGCCAGAGAGATGCACCCCACAACTGAACCCCCGTCCCCTGTGGAGGCACCCGGTATTTCGGCCGCTGCATAGGTGGTGATGGGGAGCAACCTTCTGGAGACCCTGGAGCCTGTCCTTGACAGGGTGAGGTCATCCTCTCGCAAGGGGTCCGGGAGCCCCTGTGCGGAAGGGGATCTGCCCGGCTAGGCATCTCACCTCCTCTCATCTGGGGCTAAGAGAAAGGAGCTCTACGCAATGCCCACCTCCCCGATACAGACCCAGGTGCGAGGAGGGTTGGGTGGGAGCGACTTCCTCTCTTCCTGGGTCAAGGGCCACCTGCCCCCCACCCATTTGCACCGATCTCCTGGAGTTAAAATGCGCCAAAGCAGCTCCTGGCTTTATTCTCCTTCCCCGCATTAACACCGCTGTTCGTTAAACCGAACGCTGCCACGCCAAGCCCCCAAAATAACCAGACAGTGGTGAGGATGGGAGGCCACCCAGCAATCCTTGGATTGAGCAGGACTTCTCAGCGACGTTGGGATGAACGCAGCACGGTGTTGCTTCCTCCTGGCGAAGTGGAGGGAGAGGAGAGGAGCCGATGCCCCCCGAAACCCCTCAATCTGGCGGGTTGGCTTGTTTAGGGGAGAGAAAGACAACGGCTGACCACGTTTTTGAGCTGCTACTTCCAAAGCTCGACCGGTCTAACGGGCAGGCAAGAAAAGTCCCGGGTTTGACTAGGAACCATTCGCAAGAGACATTTAGAGGGGAGAGTGCGGAAGGCAGAGGAGCCTCTTCCCCAAAATTCAGGCTGGGGCCCCTCCTGCTGAAGGCCCAAGGAGGGCAGGAGAAACGGAGGAAACCCAGACTCGGGGTTTGGTCGACAGAGGACGGGAACCCCCTGGGTCGGTTGGGGATGATGGGGCTGGGGAACAGGGCAGGAGCCCCTCTCGACCTCCTCCAGAGGCGGCCAAGAGGAGGGGGCGGGGGCAGGCCTGGCCCAAAGGGGCGATGCCAGAGGGAAACATCCATTTCCTTTTGCATCAGGAATAAAAAGATGTTTCGATAGGCTCGTTAAAATAATTTTCTTTCTTGCTAAAAAAAAAAAAGAAAGGAAAAAGGAAAGAGGGAGACCTCCTCCCTCCCATCCTGCAAGCAGCAGAAGCCGGCCTCAGGGGTGCTCCTCGTGCGCAGAGTCCGTCTGGGTTGTGGCGCAGCAGCACTGGGCCGGAGGCCACGGTCCTGAGAGGTAAAGTGACCGAGAACACTTCTCCTGGGGCTCCCAAGGCGTCCTGGGCCGGGCGGCTCGAGAGCCCGGCTCCCCAGGGCGTTCTGGCTCTGGGGCAGGAACCGGGGGATGGGGGGCTACTCCAGCCCCAGGATATAGTTAATCCCTTGCACCAGTCCGATGATGACCGGCTGCCACGCCACCAGGTAGCGCAGCCAGTCCAGCAGCTGTCCGTACATCACGTGCGGCCTCTCCCAGCTGCAAGGCGGAGTTAAGGCCGAGTAAAAATAAAAGGTAAAATAGTCCCTGCGGGTTTCTCTCGCTCCTCGTAGGTGACTTTCAGGCCCTCCGTTCCAAGGCCGTTGAGCCGGTGCTGTCGGAAGATGTTCAGTGGTCACGTGGCCAGCACGACCACAGCGCAGAGAGTGTGCAGCAAAACACGGGAACATGTTATCTCCTCACCAAAGGGCTGCCTATTTATCTACTTGCAAGTAAGATGCTTTTGAACTGCTAGGTTGGCAGGAGCCGAGGCCAGTGATGGGAACTCGCCCCATCATGCAATGGCAGGACTCAAACCGCCCAAGGATAGACCTTTTCCAGGGTCCTTTAAGCCAGAGTTCCCCAAGCTTTCCGGTTTTTCGGTGGGAGGGGGGGATAGAGGGGAGGTTCTGCACGAGCGGTGGGCGCACGCACCTGCTGGTCATGCAAGTGGGAGTGAATGCACACACGCTCGGCTGCTGCTTGCACAAGTGGGGATGTGCGCGTGCTCAGCCGCCACTCCTGCGGCCTGCTTCCAAAGGGCTCAAGGCCCAGTGTTGGGCTGCGGCCCTGGGGGTTGGGGACTCCTGGTTTAAGCCACTGAGCCACCACGCCTTAGATGGGGTGGGCAATTCATTTCCCCAAGGGGCCACGGGACCCTCCTGGAGGGCTGAAGGTGCATGGCCACCCTTGTATGTCAATAGGCCAATTGGAAAAAAAAAGAAATTACGAGACAGCTTCAAAATGAAAGCAGCCCCCACGGGACGGACAGGGACAGCCAAGGGGCCAGATGTGGCCCAGGGGTGGGTGGGTGGGTGGGGTAAAAGGCCAAGGGAAGCCACCAGGCTAACGTGGGGTCAACAGGCCACCATCCCACCCTCTGCCTCTGTAGCCTAGCATTCAAGGCCCCGCATCAATGGGTCAGAGCAATCAACCTTCGACCGTGGTCATTTGTCCACCCCGGGTGAGAGACGGGCCTGCAGGGCCACGGGGAAACTCTGAGCGCACCGCCTGGAAACGATTTGAGTGGAGACTCTTGGGGGGCAGGTGCCAGCAAGAGAGAGAATACGGGTTGGGAGGGGCACCCAGGGCATCTGGGGGAGCCGGGGGGTGGGCGGGGGTCCCAATGGCGAGAGAGGAAGGATACGGATTGCTGAACATCCGCTTGAGGTCCACTTTCTCCTTGCAGTACGGGCAGGTCTGCTTCTTCCCCACAATGCACCAGCCCCGGATGCAGAACTCGTGAAAGCTGGGCGGGCGGAGGGTCAAGGAGCAAACGGGGGGCGGACGGGATCCAGAAGTCGACAGAAAAGAAGCCCAGGGGGAGCCCTTGGTGCCCTCTGAGCGGGGCTCTTTCCTTGCAGACGTCTCAGTCCCCAACTAGGGAACATCATCAGGGCTGCAAGGGAGGGAAGGGAGGGCTGTGGAGAGGAGGAGGAGGAGAACTGGGAGGTCCTTGGTGCTCCCAACTATGGAAGACCATCAGTGCTATGATCCTTATTGCTAGCACTGATGTTTCCTAGTTGACCCCCCAGTCCTCCTCCATCCCTTCTAGCGCTGATGACGTTGCCTAGTTGGGTCATGAAATGTCTGTCTGGAAACAACTAAGCCCAGAGACCCCCATCTGAACTAAGGCTTTGGCCCAATCCAACATCCTGCCCCACCCCCCCACCCCCAACTGTGGAGGCATCCTGACTGGGTGAGCAGTTCCAGCCAGACCCAAACAGTCCTCCAGCTCAGGATCCCAAAGGAGGTTTGATCCCCACGAGGAGGAGGAGGAGGAGGAGGAGGAGGAGGAGGAGGCGCCCTGGGAGTGAGCTGCCCACGTGGGCTGTGACTGCTCTGCCACAGGCCCATGAGTCACCACAGGGCTGTGCATTGCAGCCATGGCCAAAGAGCCGCGTGGGAGGCAGGAGGAGGCCAGGCCCTGCTCCCCTCTCAGCGGCTCCTTCGGAGGCGCCAAGGAATCCAGGCCGTCTCTCCCCTTCCCCACTCAGGGGCCCCTCCCTCCAGGACCCAGGCTGGCCCCCAGCAGCACAGGTGGGGCTTCCAGGGCACGGAGGGGACCCTCCCCCACACCCAACCCCAGCGCTTTGCTCGCCCCTCAGAGGCCAGCCTGGGTGACTACAAGTCCCATGCTCTCCGGGCATCTGGGGGTTACGGGTCAGCCCAGGGGGAGGGCCCAAATCAGGGAGCACCAGCCCAGGCCCAGCTCAGAGCATGGACAGCAAGGGAGTCCTCAACTTATAACGGCTCCTTTAGTGGCCGTTTGAAGTTACAACGGCACTGAAAAAAGTGACGCCTGACCGCTCTTCACACCTCCAACCGTTGCAGGGTCCCCGGATCCAAAGTCAGAGGCTCAGCAACTGGCATGGACTTACGACGGTGGCAGCATCCCCCCACGGTCACGTGACCCCCTTCGGACAAGCCACGTTCAGTGGGGCAGCCGGATTCACTTAACGACCATGTTACTAACTTAACAACTGCAGTGATCCACTTAATAACGGTGGCATGAAAAGTTGTAAAACGGGGCAAAAATGTCACTCAACAAATGTTTCACTTGGCAGCAGAAGTTTTGGACTCGACTGTGGCCGTAACTCGAGGACTCTCTGTCCTCTGGCTCCTCCTTAGGATCGTTGTTGTTTCCGTCCTGGTCTTCTTGGGCTGCCTGGGGTGTCCCTTTGGGGGGTGGGGGGGATGAGTCAGGGGAAAGCCCGGGGGGTGGGGGTGGGGGCTGAGTCACGGCCCTGTGGCTTCCCCTTACGGCCCTGGGAAAGTTCCCACAAGCCCTGGTCCTCCCCACACGTGTGCCACGCAAGGGAAGCCGAGGGGATACCGTCATTGTGCACGCGGACCAGCCTGCCCCGGAGGGAGAGAGACGCTCAAGGGAAAAAGCCCCTCCCCCGCCATATGGGCCTTCCCTGCAGGGCCCTCCACGCTCGGCCAGCAGCTGTGGGGCAGGAGGGGGGAGGGGCAAGAGCTGGACTCGGGAGGAGCCCCTTGGGCGGCATTTGAGGGGTGCTTGGGGGGGCCCCCGTGCCTGAGTGACCCAACCTCTGAAGGCTGGTCAGTGGGTTCACAGGCAGTCCTCGACTTATAATTGTTCGCTTAGTGACCATTCGAAGTGACACTGGAAAAAGGGACTCAGGGTCAGTTTTTCACTTATGACCGTTGCGGCTTCCAAAATTTCTGTTGCTAAGCAAGACGGTTGTTAAGCGAGTTTTGACCCATTTTATGACCTTCCTTGCCACTGTTGTTAAGCGAATCACTTAACTTGTTAAGATAGCAAGGCGGTGGTTAAGTGAATCTGGCTTCCCCCATGGACTCTGCTTGTCAGAAGGTTCGCAAAAGAGGATCACGTGACCCCAGGGACACAGCAACCGTCGCAAGTGTGAGTCAGTTGCCGAGGGCCCCACTCTTGATCACGTGACCACAGGGATGCCTGTGTGCGTGTGGGGGAGTGTGTACCGCAGCCCCTGGAAGCTGCTCCCCCCTCCCTCCTGCCACGAGACCCCCCCCCCATCCGTGGAAGGATACACGTGGTTGCAGGAGAGCCGGTAGGTGTTCTCGATGATCCCTTCCTCGTTGACGTCCACGAAGATCTGCTGCCCGCAGACGGCACAGACGCTGTCCGAGAGGTGCTTGGTGGGCATCCCACAGGCGCTGTAGAACTGCCCCGGGGAGAGCCAGGCTGATGGGGGGGCTCAGATCCCCCCAAGGGACTGCGGGGCCCAGAAGCCACCGCCCTTCAGGCACTGCCCCACCCACCCAAAGGCCCCCCCCCACGGGAAAGGAGGAAGAGCTAGAGTGCCACCTAGGGGCCAAAGTCCCTCTGCGCTCCTTAGATCAGCTTCTCAACCTCGCCCACTTGAAGACGGATGGACTACAACTCCCAACTTCTTCAGCCAGCAGACTCACTCTTTCTTTCTTTCTTTCTTTCTTTCTTTCTTTCTTTCTTTCTTTCTTTCTTTCTTTCTTCCTTCTTTCTTTCTTTCTTCTCTTTCTTTCTTTCTCTTTCTTTCTTTTTCTTTCTTTCTTTCCTTTCCTTCCCTCCCTCCCTTTCTTCTCTTCTATCATTCCTTCCTTCCTCCTTCCTTGCTTCCATTTTTCTTTACTTCCCCCTCACACTTTCTCTCCTCCTTTCCCTCCTTCCTTTTTTCCATCCCCCTTTTCATCTTCCTTCCTCCCCTCCCTTTCTTCTCTTCTTGCTTCCTTCTTCATCTGTCCTTTATCCTTCCTTCTTCCTCACAGCTGGCTGGGGAATTCTGGGAGTCGAAGTCTTAAAGGGGCCAAGCTTGAGACTGCTGACTGAGACTGTGGTTGAAGGAAGCCACTGCAGATGGTCCTTTGACACCAAGGCGGCCCACCCTCCACAGCTGTTCCCAGGCCAAGCACATCTGGAGTGAGGGCAGTGTGGGCCAAAAAGGCCAAGGGGGAGGAGGGGAGCCGTGGCTGGGGAAAAGGCAGGCAGAGCACAGGGGAGGGAGGGTCTCAAGGGGCAGGGAAGGCCAAGCCCCCTCCCCACCCCTCCCTCTTACTCAAACAAGCCCCAGCCCAGCCCAGAGCCACCTCCCCCTTTGAGGGTCTTACCCCGATGGTGGAGGCCATGTAATCCGCACACATTTCCGCAAAGTCCCGTTCCAGGACTCCGTAGTAGAGGCCGTAGAACAGGAGCGAGATCCCAAAATCCATGCCGTCTTCTGGTTTAATTCTGCCATGGGGTGAGGGGGGGGGAGAGAGATTTTAGAAACCTCCGTGGCAGCCACGGAGAGGACCCTGCCCCAGACAGGCAGACCTTGACGGCTGAGCTGGGAGTGCAGCTTTCAAGCTGGGGCTAGGGAGGCTTTGAACCCAGGACTCTTAAGAAGCCCTGCCTGGAGCTCAGGCTATTTGGCTCCAAGAATCCCTGCTTTGCCCGAGGTGCCCTTTGGGGCTCAGGAGTCCCCTAGACGGCCCCCAATTGTTCATGGTGCAAAGTATGATGATTAAATTAGCGCTAGCACTGATGATGTCACCTACTTTGGGTAACAAAACCTCTGCAGGAAAACCACCAAGGACCCCACTGTCCTCCTCTCCACAAATACCCCTCCTCTCTAGGATTGATAATGTTACTTAGTTTGGTAATGAAACATCTGTTTCATTCAAGAAAATCACCAAGCTCTGAGAGCACCAAGGACCCCACCGTCCCCCTCCTCCTCCTCCCCCTGCCCCACCATTTTCACCTGTGAACTACAGGTGTGTGTATGTGCGAGAGAGAGAGTGAGAGAGAGAGAGAGAGATTTTTCTCACCTGAATAATAAATTAAGTCCAAAGAGGGTGAACATGACAGCCATGTAGCCCACGATGCCTGTGGCGTAGCTGATTTTGTATATGAGGAGGAACCACTTGTAGACCAATCTAGTTGTAGGAGGAGAACAAAAAGACGCCAGGCTCAGAGCTATCAACCAGGACCTCTTCCTGCCTCTGCAGATGGAAATGCCACCCTCCTCTCCTCTCTCAAACAAATGCATGGCAGCGGACGGAAGCCAAAGGTATCCCAAAGAAGGGAGATAAATATCCGTGAAAAGGAAAGCGCATCATTTGCCACTGGCCAGCTACAAAAAAAATATTAACCCAACTGGAAACTGCCCAGCCAGTCAGCCCTAAACAAGGTAAAGTTCGGGAACTTAAGCAGCCTTCAAATGTGATGAAATAAACGTATGGGCAGTCCTCAACTTATGACCACAACTGAGCCCAAGATTTCTGCTGCTAAGCGAGACAGTTGTTAAGTGAGTTTTGCCTTATTTTATGACTTTTCTTGCCATAGTTGGTAAGTGAATCACTGCGCTGGTTAAGTTACAGGGACGGCTGTTAAGTGAATCTGTCCTCCCCATTAACTTTATCAGGAGGTCACAAAAGGGGATCACGGGACACTGGGGCCGTCATAAATATGAAACCAGTGGTCAAGCATCTGAATTTTGATGAGGTGGCCATGGGCCATAAGTGGGAAACGTGGTCCTCAGTCACTTTTTCCAGTGCCGTTGTAACTTCGAACAGACACTAAACAAACTGTTGTAAGTCAAGGACTAACTGTATAAACGAACCTATAGATTTCACTGACTGGAGAGTTTCTCATACAGGCAGTCCTGGAGTTACCACCACAATTGGGAAGAGAATTCCTGTCGGTAAGCCAGACGGTTAAGTGAATCCCCACCAATTTTTTTGGCCACGGATAAGTGAACCCCATGGTCACTGAGCGAAATCTGGCTCCCCCTCCGCAATGACTTTGCCTGGGGAGGTCGGAGTTTTCGAGCCGCTTCTCAATCGCGAGGCGGCTCTACAGGCGGCAGGGCTGGCGGTGCTTAAAAAGGCACCGTCGTTGCCGAAGCTAGCAAACCGGAAGTCCGCGAATGGCTGTACCTTGAGGACTACCTGCTTTTGCACAGACACGGCTGCCTGTGGGTCCTGCAATGCGGCCCTCTGTCTTTGCCCCCCCCTCAAAGGGCCACAGGGGAGACCAGTCAGGTCCCTGAGCAAACCACCGCCTCCGCTCTTCCCCGACACCGGCAGAAGGAAAACCCACCAACGGAGCTCTTTCAGGGACTCTGTCCACGTTACAGGGAGTCCTCGACTTACAACCATTCGTTTAGTGACCGTTCAAAGTTACCACAGCACTTTAAAAAGTGACTTATGACCGTTTTTCACACTTAACCACCGTTGCATCCTCCTCCTGGTCACGCGATCAAAATTCAGATGCCTTGCAAGTATTTACGATATGGTTCATATTTACGACGGTCGCAGAGTCCCGGGGTCACGTGATTTCCTTTTGCGACCTCCTGAGAAGCAAAGTCAATGGGGAAGCCAGATTCACTTAACAACCGGGTCACGAACAACAACTGGGGTGTTTCACTTAACAGCCGTGGCAGGAGAGGTCGTAAAATGGAGCTACACTCACTGAAAAACTGTCTTGCTTCGCAACAGAAATTTTGGGCTCCATTTGTGTTCATATGTCGAGGACTACCTGTATTCCATTAGCGCAGTGTTTCTCAACCTTGGAAGCTTGAAGATGGGTGGACTTCAATTCCCAGAATTCCCCAGCCAGCGCTGCTGGCTGGGGGATTCTGGGAATTGAAGTCCACCCATCTTCAAGCTACCAAGGTTGAGAAACTCTGCATTAGCACGTTAATCATTTAGCCACTTTTTAATGGACTCTGGGTGGGCAGCTGGCCAAGGAGCGTAATTAAAACACTCCGAAGTAGAGAAGAAACGCTCCGATGCCACCAGCCCCGTTTGCAGGAGACCCCGGCCTCACCGGCGTCCCAAGACCTCTGCCCCCCCCCCCCAAGGAGCCCAAACAGGAAAGCGCCCCCTGCAGGAGATGGGCAGCCTTCCTCCCCCGGCTCACCTGGGGGTGGTCTGGACAAGGGGCTTCCGGGTGGCTCGGAAGGTAACGAAAGCTGTGATGGCCGAGAAGAAAATCCAGATGCCCAGGAACCGCCACCAGTGCAGCTTCACGGTGAAATAGAGGGGGACGACCCACATCTGGAAGAGGGTCACCATCTGCAATGAGAGGGGAGAGAGGTTAGGGGAGGGCCAGCTTGAAGCCTCCCCGAGGAGCTGCATCTCGACAGGTGTCCATCCAGGGTGGATAAAAATCAATGATTTTTTTAAAAAAATAAAAAAAAACAGATTTTTTTGATTTAAATCGGATTTTTTTTATTTTTATCGATTTTTTTAAAAAAATTTGATTTATATGCCGCCCTTCTCCGGAGACTCAGGGCGGCTTACAGTGCGTTAAGCAATAGCCTTCATACTTTTGTATATTTATACAAAGTCAGCTTTTTGCCCCCACAAACTGGGTCCTCAATTTACCAAAATTTATTTTAATAAAAATCTTTTGGGGTAAAAATCTATCGTAAGATAGTTTTCTATTTAAGATACATAAATAATTTAGTTTATTCAGCATGAAATGGAGCTTAGTTATGTAGCAGGAGGCTGTATATTCTGCAACCCTGGGACCATCGGTGAGTCAACAGTGGGTCAGAGGAATAGCAGAGATGACAGTTGCTCTTTAAAAATTATGATTTAAATCGAGTTGATTTAAATCAAGCCTTTTTACTAGTGATTTAAATCATGATTTAAATTGTGATTTAAATCAACTCGATTTAAATCAAATCCACCCTGTGTCCATCCCAGAAGCGTTCAGACAATCCTTAAAGAATCCTAGCAGAGGAGCTGGAAGTTAATCCTTGCCAGCAGCTGGCAGACCACTGGAACGGTTTTTAAGACTTACTATTTAGGCCAGGGGGTAAATTCAGCAAGAATCCAAGTGAGAGCATTCTAGGCAGAGGGTTCTAGGCTGTGAGGTCCCTGGGGCTCTTGGACCTGGGTGGTTTCCTCGCAGACGTTTCACGGAGGAAGAGGAGGAGGAAGAGGGGAAGGGGCTGTGGGGTCCTTAGTGCTCTCTGAGCTTGGTGGTTTTCCTGCAGCCATTTCATGACCCAACTAGGGAACATCATCAGTGCTAGAAGGGAAGGGGATTTGCTCTCGGTTTATATTCGGATACTTTGCTTGCACAGAGCACCAAGGACCCCACAGTCATCCTCCTCCTTCTCCATAAACCCCACCTCCTCCTAGCACTGATGAGGTTCCCTAGTTGGGTCATGAAACGTCTGCAGGAAAACAGCACAGCTCAGAGAGCACCAAGGACCCCACTCTCCTCCTCCTCCTCTTTGCAGCTCCTGTTCACAGTCGCAGCACAGTTCAGAGAGCCCCCAGGAGCCCCCAGTTCAACCCTGAAGGAGCGGCCTTACGTTGTAGGAGCGAGGGTGCCTCTGTTTCCACTGTACCAGGAGCAGCTGGGCGACGACCAACGTGGCAATCAAGATGAGGACCATCTCGGCGTGCATGGCCTCGTGGCCCCGGTGTTTGGCGTGCATCCGGGCATGCTCGATCCTGAAACGAGAGCCAGGCGGGTCAGCCTCTCGCACAACAGCAGCACCTGCCAGCTCACAAGTCTTCCCAATGCAGCTGGCAACCCGTTCAGGTTCAACACACACACACACACACACACACACACACACACACAGAGGTTTCTAAAGACACCAGGCCGCCTCGGGAGCACAAAGACAGAGTCAGAACCACTCAAGTGGAGAGTGTGTGATGGGACAACGCAATTTTATTTTAATTTTTAAAAAATCTGAAATTAATTTTAATGCTTTAGTGCTAATTTTATACTTTACGTGTTGATTATATTGCACACTACCCAGAGTCCCTCTCTGAAGGAGGACAGTTTAGAAAGAGAGAAAAAGAGAGAGAGAGAGAAGGAAGGAAGGAAGGAAGGAAGGAAGGAAGGAAGGAAGGAAGGAAGGAAGGAAGGAAGGAAGGAACTCTGGGAAGCCAACAACATCAGCCAATCTTCCTTGAGCCCAGAAAGCAGGGAATGAAAGGCAGCCCTTCCAACCCGAGAATCCACAGGCTGAATAGGGCAGCCCCAGTACAGGGTGGGGGACCCACAAGGCCATCTAGCCTAGCCCCATAAGTAAACAGAGACATATCAGCAGCGTGCTGGAGGTGGGTCTTGCAAGGTGAGCTCCCTGCCCCCTCTGCTTCCCCACAGCTGGCGTCAGGTGTCCTGAAGGTAGCCAGGCAGCCTTGCACTCACCTCCATCTCTCATCCGGGTCCAGGTGCGAGAGGTCAACCTGCAAAGAACAAGAGAGAGCAGTTTGCACCCGAGGGAGGAGGTCCTGCTGTCTCAGCCCGGGGGATCTCCCAGAGCTGCCTTTGGGTCCGCCAGGATTCAGAAACCACCAGGGTCATAGCCACAGAACAAGATCAGCCCAGAACCTCCCCTGGGGGGGGTGGGGGGCTTAATGGGGTGCTGTGGATTTTAGAATAGCTGTGAACTTCGTTCACCTGCAGGGTAGCCATCACAGCAACTCAGAGAGTGTGCTCTGGATCTCCTCTGAGCAATCTTTAAATCCCTTCAGATCCGAGAACTTCCCAAGGGCAGACATTCCACCCTCATTGTGACGTGGCATTCCTGGCCTCCGCAGGGACCACCGGCCAGCCGGCTCTCCTTTTCCCCAGGCCTTTTGCTTTTTTTGCCCCTGGATAGCAGGCCTAGCGCAAGGGAAGCCAGAAGGTGGAAGCCGCTGAGCCACCAAGGCCCTGGGCAGGCCACCTTCGCCTCTGGAGGGGACTGGTCAGCGTTTCGCTCGAAGGCCAGAGATGCTCACCTCTTCTGTAGAGGGTGATGGGCTGACCAACAGGTGTGTGGGGGGGGGGGGAAGTTTACAACTATCCTAACATACAGTTGAAAGACGGAGCAGGTCGTCCGCAGGCAGAGGTCCAGGATCACGGACCGAATGGCCTTTAGTGTCCCTCACACTGTGGAGGACCAACCGTTCACATCTGGAATAAATGGGCTCCCCTTTAGCACAGCAGCATCTTTTATGAAACATGTTGTGGCACCAGACACGTCTCTGCTGCACTCTCCCCCTTGAAAACTACGGGAGCTGCCAGGGCTTCCTCCCCACTCCCCAATTTGTGACAGCTAACAACCCCACACGAATGGCAAGTACGGGCAGGTGTGAGAGAGAGGGATGCTGGGTTGGAAAGGGGGCAGGGAATTCTTTGGGCCAGAGAAGATAGCTTATGGACAGAATATTTCTCTCTGGGGTTTCCAACTCCTGCAATAATTGTTTTTTTCAGTTTGAACTGGGGATCCATAGAGATTATTCTCAGTCCTCCTCCAGGTCATGGTTGTCCCAAAGGTGCTTTTTCAGGAGGCAACTGGACTTCCTCGTTTTTTCTTTGAAGACGTTTTGCTTCTCACCCAAGAAGCTTCTTCAGCTCTGACTTGGATGGTGGGGAATGGAACTGGGGACTTGCTAACAAAGTGAGTTTTGTGAGTGCTCTCTGAGCTTAGTGGGAGGGTTTTTTTGCAAACATTTCATGACCCAACTAGATAACTTCATCAGTATTAGAAGGGGATGATGGGATTTGTGGAGAGGGAGGACAACAACAACAACAACAACAACAACTGTGGAGTTCTTGGTGCCCTCTGAACTTGGAGGTTTTCTTGTGGAAGTTTCGTGATCCAACTAGTTCACCTCCCTCAGTGCTGAAGATGTTCCCTAGTTGGGTCATGAGACGTCTGCAAGAAAATAACCAAGTGCGGAAAGCATCAAGGACCCACCAAATCTCCTCCTCCTCCTCTCTGAGTCTGCAACCCCCCTCCCTTCCAGCACTGATGATGTCACCTAGCTGAGTAATGAAGCATCTGTAAGAAAACCACCAGGCTCACGGAGCACCAAGTGCCTCGCAGAAAGTTTGTTAGCAAGTCCCCAGGTCAAACTGGGAAAAAAAGAAGCCCTCGCAGAAGTTGAAAACTGGCGGTCCAAAGGTTCCCCCGAGGAAAGGAACAAGAGCTACTTGTCACCTGCAACTTCACCTACTCAGAGATAAGCCCAGCAACACCTGCCTAGCCCTGCAGCCGAACTATATTCCAAACAGCTGGCTAAACGTAGTGCAAAGGTTGTTGCCAGCACAGGAGGAAGGAGCAAGACTCCTACTTGTGCACATCACGGATCACAAATCCAAGTTTTATTCACAAAAGCTAGTCAACTCTTCTTTTAGCTGGGACACAGCGAATTAAAACCTCCTTTGCTATCACTGGAGGTTTTTAAGAAGAGATCGGACAGCCGTTTGTCTGAAATGGTGTAAGCTCTCCTGCTTGAGCAGGGGGCTGGACTAGAGGACCTCCAGGGTCCCTTCCAAGAGTGTTATTCTATAATTCTGTTGTAAGAAACTGTTTTGCGTCCCTAAGGGGGCTGCCATTGCCAGGTGGAGGATGTCACCCGCACCCTCTTAACAGGAGAGGAGGGCCGAGTGTCGGTGAGTCACAGAGGTTACAAAGGCGTGTAAAGCACAGCTCAGCCATTGGCTGAGCAGGTTCTGGTGATCGGAGGGGAACGGCTTCTCCTCCTCTTAAGAGGCTGGAAAGAACCCTCACAATTGTTGCCGCACAATAATTGGCTTTCAACATTTTCTCCACCTAACAGACCAAGAGTTTGCACAGGTGTTTGGAAATAAGGCTGGGAAGGACCTTGGAGGTCTTCTAGACCAACCCCCACCCCCTTCAAGCAGGAGACTGTAGCAAAAAACATCATTAAAAGGGGGCAAAACTCAATGAACAACTGTCTTAACAACAGAAATCTGGGGCTCAATTGTGGCCGTAAGTCGAGGGCTACCTAAATTTGGGAACAGCATGGCTGATAAACGCACCCCGATACTAAGACTTGCTCAGACTCTGTCATCCCTCTGGCTTCTTTTAAAAAGAGAAGGAATGTCACCTTCCATCAGCTTTGGGGACCCAACGGGAAGCGCCAGGGGAATTTTCCATTTTGTAAAATTTGGGATTCGATTTCTAGGCTGCCCATCAGCCTGCCGGGCGATTCTAGGCGGCTGGGGAAGGGAAGGGAAGGGAAGGAGCCCCTGGAAAGCCAGAAAGGAGAACGGGGGTTACGACCGTCAGCATTCTTTCTTCAGCTCCTGCTCCAATTATAGCTTCAGGTCAGGCTGGGAAAGGAACTGAAGCGTGGGAGCAGAGGAAGGGCTGGCGGCACAGGCGGGAGGTACCCAGTGAGAATCCTACAAGGACAGGGTTTCCCGAGCTTTGACAGCTTGAAGTGGGCTGGACTCCCAGAATTCCCCAGCTACTTTTCTGGGGAATTCTGGGAGTTGAAGTCCAGCCCTCTCCAAGCTGTCAAAGCTCGGGACACCCTGCAGTAGACCCTCGGCAGGGACTGTGGAACTCCCTGCCACAAGAGCCCAGGCAGTCCTAATTTGGACAGCTTTGCTGTCTGGGGAATTCTGGGAGTCGAAGTCCAGCCCTCTTCAAGCTGGAGAGACACTACAATAGACACCTGGTGGCTTCATCCCTTGGCAGGGACTGCGGGACTCCCTGCCACCAGAGCCCAAGAGGTTAGGATTGGGACAGCAGTGGTGGCTGGGGAAGGCTCGGAAGCTGAACTCCATCCCCATGCCAGCTGTCAACCTCGAGAAACACTGCAGTAGGCCCTTGGCAGTTTCAAGGGCCTGTGGGACTCCCCGCCACAAGAGCCCAGGAGGTCCTGATTTGGAGCAGCCATCAGGGGGACAGGTCGCTCAAGAGACGCCGAAGGCCTTTTCCGGGGGTGCTTGGCCTGGATACGGGGGCCTGTTTAAGAGAGAGGCCCCCAGAGTCGCTCGTTTGCTGGCTCAGGTAGACTGTCCCTGGCGCTGGAGGCTCTAGCCAGCTGTGAAGAGACCGGGATCGGCGAGAGGCCTGCCTCGCAGGGCTGTTGGGGAAAGGGGACCATCCTTCCTCCTCCTCTCTCCCCTCCCCTCCACGCCCGACTCCCGCCGGCAACTCACCTCGTCGGCGCCGGGCTCCAGCGGCGCCCCCACCACCTCCACTTCCACCACCGCCATCTTGCCCCCGCCTCACCGCCAACTCGCTTCCGCCGACGCCCACCAATCACCGCCCTCGGCTCTCGCTCGCCCAATCGCCGCCTTCAGAAGCTGAGGCGGAGGGCGGGCGATTCTCAGGGACCGTCGAACAAGTTCTGTATTTCCCCTCGGACGAAACCATATAAAATCCAACGGGAGGGGCCCCGCTGAGGTGGGGGTCTGAGGGTTTCTGCCTGGAGAATATGCTACAGTTCCGGGGATTCGGGCTCCGAAGGGATCGGCGCGTTCTCAACGCCGCTTCCAGGGAAGGGGAATTGACGGACGCTCCCCGGGGTGACTGGCAAGAACTACACCTCCCGGCATTCCCGGCGGCTTCGACCGGGGCGGAGCTATTGGAGGACGGAGCGGATGACGTCAGAGCGCGAGCGGAGCGTCGGCCTATCCGGAGCGAGGAGAGGCGTGGAGCCGAGGTTGGCGGGAAAAACGAAGGCGCGTCCGGGGCTGATGGGCGTTGTAGTCCAGCCGCGCGGCCGGGAAGGCGATGGCGCCGCTGAGGATCCGCTGCGTCGTCTCGTTCTCCTCGCAGGTGACGCGGCCTCGGGGCCTGGGGCCCTCCGGGGACGGGGAGGGCTCGGGCCGGTCGTGGGGATGCGGGCAATCCCGACACGCGTCTTCTCCTGACCCCCCTCCCCCCTTTACTCTCTCTGTGTGCGTGTGGGGTTTTTTTAAATGGGTGGTCGTAAAACGAGGACTACCCCTAAGAAAGGAATAACTGAAATCGGCCCTTCGGGGCTGTTATGGTTTGTGGGCTTCACAACATGGGCTTTGTAGTTCAGGTGGTCCTTACGGCCGTTCATTCGTTCATTCATGTATACAGGTAGTCCTCGACTTACGACCACAAGGGACCCCCAAAATGTTCTGTGGCTAACCGAGACAGTTGCTAATTTTGCTCCCTTTTACGACCTTTCCTGGAACCCTTTTTGAGTGAACCCCTCTCAGTTCTTAGGGTTAGTAACCCGGTCGTTAACTGAATCTGGCATCCCCCCCCCCATTGACTTTGCCAGTGAGAAGGTCACAAAAGGGGATGACGTGATTTGGGGACCCGGGGACCGTCATAAATACGAGTCAGTGATCGTGTGACCCGGGGGGGGGGGGGGATGCTGCAACGGTCATAAGTTTGAAAACGGTCAAAAGTCACTTCTTTTGCTGCCTTTGTAACTTTGCGGTCATTAAGCAAACTCTTGTGAGTCAAGGACTACCTGTATTGTTATACTTGCTAACTAACATAGTTAGTTCGTATTTTAATATATTTTTGACTTTTAAAATGATGCGGGTTTATCAAAGCATTGCAGGGTGGAAGGTAGAAAACTATTTATCCTGCTGCCGTATATTAGATAACTTCTAGCATTTCTAAACTGAAAAGGAATTAGACTGGTTTTTTTGCCCAGGATAGACTGGGATGCATGGAGTTCCTCGATCAGACAAAGCTGGTTAGTGGCTGATTGGTAGCCTGGCTGGTCTCTTGGTGAACTCCAAACAACCTTATGGCTTTATTTCCACATTATGCCCCTGCTTTCATCTAAAGGGAGTCCTAGGTAACAGGTTGGGCTACCTGTAGCTGATGAAAAGCTATGTAGCTACGATGAAAAATCCTGTCCTGTATTTTCCTTGATGTGTTAATTATAAAACGGAATGTAAGCTAAGGACCAGGGTTCCCTCTTTGAATGAGAGGAATCCCTTTTAATTGGAACTTTCTGAATAAATTAAATGATCTGCCTGTCTTATTGGGGGTCTGAGCCTAGCCAGCCTTAGGCCGTATATGGCTAACGGGTTCCTTGCGGCTGACATGCCTTTGAGTATCAACATTAAACCTTCATTAAATGCTTTCCTCCGATTCCCCCTTTTCTGGGCCAGGACCCCAAATACCCCGTGGAGAACCTCTTGCTGGAAGAAAGGGCTCAGCCCTGGCTCTGCTGCCCCTTGGACCGCAGCCGGCAGCTGAGAGCCGAGTTGCAGCTGGAGCAGGCCGGCTGCATTGGCTACATCGACGTAGGTAAGTCAGGAGGGCGATTTGAAATGCTCTTTTGGGTGGGGGAGTAAAGGGTTTATGCTCCACTTCTAGAGAGCATGGAGCAAGAGGTCGCAGCGAAGGATCGGGGCCCAGTTTATTTTATTTATTTGTAAAATGTATTGGCCGCCCATCTTACCACAGGGGAACCCTGGGCGGCTTGCAATCTTAAAATCAAAATACCCGTATATAAAAGCTAAAAGACATAAATAAAATGCTGGGAAGATCCAGTCAGTGATTTAGAGTCTCATATGCAGGTAGTCCTCGACTTATGACCACAATTGAGTACAAAATTTCTTTTGTTAAGTGGTATTGCCTCATTTTACGACCTTTCTTACCACAGTTGTTAAGTGCATCACTGCAGTTGTTAAATTAGTCACACGTCAGTAAGTGAATCTGGCTTCCCCATTGGCTTTGCTTGTCGGAAGGTCGTAAAAAGGGGATCATGTGACCCCGGGACACTGACCGTCATAAATGTGAACCAGTGGCCAAGCGCCTGAATTTTGATCACGTGACCCACGGATGCTGCAATGGTCGTAAGTGTGAGAAACGGTCATAAGTCCCTTTTTTTCAGTGACGTCGTAAGTTTGAACGGTCACTGAATGAACGGTTGTAAATCGAGGACTTGAATGAGCTGACAGGCGCCTGTGTGGCTGTGCTGTGAGGAGCCGGAGGGGCTTCCCCTGGAGAGTAAGGGGCTTTCCTGTTTTGGGTCCCCAGGGAACTCTGGCTCTGCCTTCCTGCAGATCGAGGTGGGCCGGTCCTCCTGGCCTCCAGATCAGCATTATCTCACCCTGCTTCCAACCACCACTTTGATGATGCCAGCGGATGCCAAGCAGGACAGGAACCGTTCCGGGGTCCGGATGTTTAAAGAAGGTAAAGGGAGGGGCTGGTCTGCCTTGGGCCTGGGGGTTGGACTAGAAGACCTCCAGGTTCCCTTCCAGCCCTAGAGTTCTAGGCTCTGCAAGCATGCCGGAGCCGCCCAGGTGTAGGAGGTTCAGGTCTGTTGTGTCGCGCAGGGGACTTGCTGGCATCTGCGCTGGCGGAGAAGTGGGATCGCGTCCGCCTCACTTGCAGCCAGCCCTTCAACAGGCACGCCCAGTTTGGCCTCGCCTTCATCCACATCCGCACCCCAGAGGATTCGGAGGAGCGCCGGGGGGATCCCGCAGCCCCCTCCCCATGTCAGGTAGGGCTTTGTGGGAGACGCAGGGGGTTCAGGGCAGCACCTTTGGTGGCTTTAAGACTCGTGGACTTCAAGCCCCAGAATTCCCCAGCCATCTCCCACGCCCCAGTTGTAAATTGCGCACTGTCCTCGGCTTACAACAGTCGATTTAGTGACAGTTTGAAGTTACAAAGGTGGTGAAAAAAGTGACCTGACCGTTTCTCACACTTACGACCGTTGCAGCATCCCCGGGGCCACGTGATCAAAATTCGGAAGTTTAACAACTGGTTCATATTTATGACAGTTAGATGCCTCAGGTGCCTCCCTTTTGCGACCTGACCAGCAATTTCAATGGGGAAGCCAGATTCACTTAACAACCAGGTTACAAACTTATCAACTGCAGTGATTCATTTAAAAAGAAAGTGGCAAGAAAGGATGTAAATTGGGGCAAAACTCACTTAACAAATGTTTTACTTAACAACAGAAAATTTGGGCTCAATTGTGGTCATAAATCCAGGGCTACTTGTCTAAATGAATGAATAACAGCAGAATTTTAATCCTTGTTCTTTGCCTTCATTTTGATGACCTGTATTCCCACGGCCTTCCTCGGCCGAGTAAATTCCTTCCTCTGTTATTATCTCTCTTAGGCTTCTCCGGAGTCGGCCCCCAAGCTTGGGGTCTTCAGGGGGACCCTTTCCCCAGCAGAGCCATCGTAAGTACCCAGCTATGTCTTGGGCCGCTCCGGCTGCTTTGCCATTGTTTATTCATTTGAAAGGTTAATAACTTTAAAACTATAAATCCCATCTGATGAAAACATTCAAAGCAGTCAGTTCCCACGTGCAGCTGATCCGTTTCCCTTGAAATCCTGGCACAGCTCCCCCCGCCCGGGGGTGGATAAGAACCCAGCCCATCATTCAGCCAGGATGCGTTGCTTTTCTTCCCCCAGGTGCAGCACCCAGGAGGAGACGCTGCTCAAGAGCCAGTTGCAGCAGCTGGACTGCGCCCTCCTTGGCAAGGGGCTGAGCCCGTCTGGCCTGAGTCGCCCAGCCCGTCTGGTCCTGAAGGCAGCAGCCTCTGCCCACAAGCGAGCCCCTCTCCTGCCCGCCGGGTCACCACCGCCTGCTGCAAGGAGCAAAGAGGCTGGGCGGGCCCCGAGGGCAGCCCAGAGCCCCAGGGCCCCAAGTGAGTGGAGGGGGGTGAGAGGCTCTGGGCCATCACCAGAGGGCGGGGGGACCTCGCGGGCTTCATGGCTCCTTCATCCAAAGATGCTGATTAGACACGACCCAGAACGGATGCCGAGAGAGGTTACCGTGAGAGCCAGTTTGGGGGAGTGGTTATTAAAGTGTTGGCCTACAAGCCAGGAGACAGTGAGTTCGAGTCCTGCTGCCTTAGGCCTCAGTGGCGCAGTAGTTAGAACGCGGTACTGCAGGCTACTTCAGCTGACTGCCGGCTGACTGCAATTTGGCAGTTCAAGTCTCACCCGGCTCCAGGTTGACTCAGCCTTCCGTCCTTCCGAGACGGGTAAAACAAGGACCCAGATTGTTGGGGGCCAAAGGCTGACTCTGTAAAGCGCTTAGAGTGGGCGGGAAAGCTCTGTGAAGCGGTATGTAAGTCTAAGGGCTATGGCTATTGCTAGGCATGAAAGACGACTTTGGGACTTAGCAGGAAACATTTGTAACTCAGGGTTGAACTGTGAAGTCCTCGGTGCTTCCTAATCTCAGTTGTTTTTTGGAGACATTTCATGACCCAATTAGGTAACATCTTCAGTGCTAAAAGGAGGGGGGGTTGCAGAGTTCAGGAGGAGAAGGGGAGAAGGAAGAAGGTCAAGGAAGACGAGGAAAAGGAGAGGAGGAGGAGGAGAAGAAAGGGAAGAAGAGGATGGGGGTCTTTGTTGCTCTCTTGCAGATGTTTCATGTCCCAATAAAGACATCTTCAGTGCTGGGGGGGGTTGCAGGGAGGAGGAGGACTGTGGGGTCCTTGCTGCTCTCTGAGGTGGGTGGTTTTCTTGCAGACGTTTCATGACCAAACTAGGTAGCAGCATCAATGCACTGAAGATGTTCCCTAGTTGGGGCATGTAAGGTCTGCAAGGAAACCTACCAAGCTCAGAGATCACCCGGGACCCCACACCTAAAAGAGCTTTGCCAGCCCTGCTAACTGCATCACCATCCACTCTCCTGTGGGAGGTTTTTGTGTGTCCTGCAAGGTCACCTAAGGCCAGGCAGGCGCTGTGACCTCTCGTGGCCGTGAGCTTCCTATATATACTTCCTACATATCCAGAAAGTTGGCGTGGGAGCCCCATCCTTAGTGGCTCTGGGCAGCTCACAAAGAGGTTAGAAGGCGAAATGTAGTAGAAACCTGCAGAGCAGAAGTCCAAAGATAGTCTAAAGACCTGGAGCAAAAAAACCAGCATTTTTTCAGCCTCTGCCATAAGACTGGTTCGCCTTCAATTAAGCGCTGAGCTGTGCCCGCCAGGACCCATCAAGCTCCCTGCAGATCAGCCTTTCTGTTGCGGGATCTTGCAAAGCGCCCAGATCTCCGCCGGTTGCTCTTTAACCGGCAAGCCTTTCCCGGGGGATTCACACTGCCGGCATGTTTCGTCCCTCAGGGCCCAAAGAGGAGCAACCGGCCAGGAGCAGCCGCTTGAAAACAAAGAGAAGATCGCAGGGCGGTGCCAGGAGGTGAGTTGGTGCTTCCTTCCCTCAGCCCCGTTTGCTTCCTGGCAGGCCTGTTAGGGCTCACTACAGGCAGTCCTCGACTTATGGCCCCAATGGAGGACTGATTTTTCCATTGCTAATAAGGCGGTTGTTGAGTGAACTACACCTGATTTTATGAGCTTTTCAGCCACGGTTGCTAACTGAATAGCTGCAGTTGTTAAATGAATCACACGGCCATTAAGCAAATCAGTCTTCCCCCATTGACTTTGTTTGTCAGAAATGGGGGGGGGAGGCACAGTGGGACTTTGGATTTGATTGGAATTCTGCATTTAAGGGGGGGGGGAATCCTTCCACTTTGAGGGGGGAGGCAGGCAGAGAAGGGACCAGGAAAAATTCCACTACTAACTAAGCAAGACGGGTTTTGCTCCATTTTACGACCTTCCTTGCCACAGTTGTTAAGTGAGTCACTGCAGCTAAGTTAGTAACACGGTTGTTAAGTGAATCCAGCTTCCCCATTGTCATTGTTGTTAGATGGTCACAAACACTGCGACCGTCATAAAAACGAGCCAGTTGCCAAGCATCCCAATTTTGATCATGTGAACATGGGGAAGCTGCAATGGTCGTAAGTATGAAAACGGTCATGAGTCACTTTTTTCAGCGTCCTTGTAACGGTCACTAAACGAATGGTTGTAAGTGCAGGACAACCTTTTTTTCTTCAGAGCTAGGAATGGTTCTCGAAGGGAGGGGAGAACCCGCAGCCTGAGAGGGAAACCACCAACCTGGGAAAGTGAGGAAGAGGAAGGAGGAGGAGAAGCTGCGTTGGGCACCTGCCCAATCTGCACAGGTGAGCCAAGTCCCAGGATGGCTTTCCCACCAGGACAGTGAAAAACCCTGCAGGTGGCGAGGACGGAGAAAAGGCCTGGGAGCAGGCCACCCCAAGGAAACTTGGGTAGAGGGGTGTGTGGGTGGGTCCATGGGGCAGGGTGCCCCCAGCCCACCCACTTCTTTAATGCCAGAGTTGGCAGGTCTGCGAGTTTGGGGTTAGCATCCTAAACGTATTTTTAAATATCTATTTATTAGGGATATGCCTCCCTTTTTATACAGGAGCCTCTGAAGTAGATGAATAAAAGGAAACTGTACCACAAGCTCTGAAATTAGGCCTGGGGAGGTTCTTCCCTAAAATCCCCACCACCATCTCTCTCTCTCTCCCTCCCCCCCTCCCTCCCTCCCTCTCTCTCTCTCTCTCTCTCTCTCTCTCACACACACACACACATATACCCACACACACAGATGGCCATCTGCCGAATTGCTTTGACACCCCCCCACCCCCGGCTTCTTGCATTCCCTGCAAATGTGGAGCGTGGAGAGGAAGTTATATTTGCCACTTTTCCTGCATGTTGGCTCCTCTGAAGAGGGTGGACCCCAGCTCCCAGAATGCCACACTGGCAGGGGAATTCTGGGAGTTGAACTCCGCATGTCTCAGAGTGGCCGAGGTTGAGAAACTCTTGATTTAAGGATTAGCTGCTGTTTTTCTGCCCTTTTCTGCTTTTTGTGATTGGGAGATCTGGGTTGCAGGTATTGGATCGATCCGAGTGGAGCTCCACTGTGCAATCCAGAGGCTGGTCGGGAAATTCAGGCAGTCCTCGACTTACGGCCAAAACGGAGTCCAAAATTTCCATTGCTAAGCAAGACAGTTGTTAAATGAGTTTTGCCCCATTTTACAACCTTCTTTCACGTGTTAAATGAATCACTGCAGTTGTTAATAACACGGTCCTTAAGTGAATCTGGCTTCCCCATTGGGTTTGCTGGTCAGAAGTTGTTCATGTGACTCCAGGACACTGTGACCGTCATAAATACGAGTCAGTTGCCAAGCGTCCCAGTTTTGATCATCCAGGAGCATCTGCCGTTGGGAAGAGGTGGGTGCCTGTTAAAACCTTTTGCTTTCTCCCGTCACAGGTCGTTTCCCGGCCGAGCTCTTGCCCGTCCATGCCTCCGCTTGTGGGGAAGAGGTGGAGGTGGCGAGGGCCTCTTCGTCCCCCGTGTGGGGATCCTGGGTGGAGTGCCCCCTCTGCCAAGACCGGTTCCCTGCCTCCGAGGTGGAGGGTCATGCCAGCGGCTGTGGGGAAGAATACGCTTAGTCCTCGGTCCTCTTCCAAAGAGAAGGGCGGATGGGAGTCCTTTGCAGCCCCAAGACTTCCTGGCTCTCTTGGTCAGACATCAGAGAAGGGGCTGGGAGACCCTCCCTCAAGGCCTCCGGAGAGAAGAGCCGCGAGAGGACATGACGGTCGGAGTGGGTGAACCGATTCCATATCTCCTCGGAGGAACATCCGAGATGCTGAAACCGGACTCCGGGACCCACAAACCCACAGCCATTTGCCTCTGATGCCGCGCCCCTCCTCAAAGCAGATTGTAGTTACTAAGAGGGATGGCCTGCAACCTTTCCGTGGGATTCACTGGAACATTTCAAACCTCCAGATATTGAGGATTTTTTTAACCTGTCGGCCAAGAAAATTATTATTATTATTATTATTATTATTATTATTATTATTATTATTATTATTTGAAGCAGGTAGAAGAGGATGTGATTTTGATTCAAGAGCCTTTGGGTTTCCGTGGGGTGGGTGGAGAGGAAGAATTGGTCAGCTGTGATGAAGCTCAGAAGCTGGACTGGCATGGAGGCCACGGGGTGGGGTCTCCCTGGAAGGGGTGCCTCAAGGCTACTGACCTTCAGCTTAAGGCCACCCAGGCTTTGCCGCATTCAGGGTGGAGATTTCTCCTTGCCCTCTGAACAGGCTTCGGGCAGATTGTCCAAAAATTCCTAGCTGGTATCTAGCTGGAACGTGACAAGGCAGGTTTTCAAACTGGAAAAAAAAAAGTTGCTTTCCTGGAACAGTTTGGCTTGATTCCTTTTACGTGTGTGTAACATGCTTGAAATACAAACTCCAAAAGAAGGGGAGCAGGAGAGAGAGAGAGAGAGATGTAATTTTATTGAAGAAATGTATAAGTGTTTGTTTTTTGTCTTTTTAACGCACATTTTTTTAAAAAATGTTTTTGTCTAATAATGTTTTACCTATTTTTTAATCCTTTTCTTGGAGTTTGTATTTTAACTTTCTGAATAAAATAAGATTTGTAGGGAAGAAAAGGAAGAAATGTATAACAAGATAACATTACAAAGAGAAGGAATGATCCAGAAGAAATGAGAAGGAATAATGAATAAGAAAGAAAATAGAAGAAATAGAAAACAAAAAAAAGAAAAGATTATATAGAAAGTGCCTTCCAATCTTTTTGACAAAGGTTATATAAATGCATTTATATATAAAGCTATATCTTAATTTCTTTCCTTCCTACCCTTTCTAATCTACAAGGCCATAAACTGCAAGTTCATTTTTCTCTTTTTATTCAGAAAAATGTCTGTGGGGGTTTCCAGTCACATAAATGTACTTGATCTTCCTCTAATCAAATCAGTTTTGTCCTCTCTGCTATTTCTGTTATCTTCACCAGCTGTTCCTCCACTGTGGATCTTTCAGGGTCTTTCCATAACATGCAATTCTTGTTTATCATAGTGATACCCTTATATATTTCACATTTATCTCTGGGTTTGCTTGTTTTTCCATTCAATTCCATTTGTTTTTTCCATTTTCATGTTCTTTGTCAACAATTTTTGTCTTTCGTTTCATAATTTTAAAGCCCCCAAATTTGTTTTCCATGAATATGTATATTCCTCCCAGAGGGTCTTCCAAAAATTATCAGTTGGTCATCCATGAACGCTGGTAATTCATCTCTCTTTCTCTTAAGCTTCACTCCGGCAATTATCTTGCCTTATTTCTCTTTGGACCTTTCAGATCTCAAGTAAATAGCAATGGCAACAAGGGCCATCCTCGTCTAGTCCCTTTCTGTATCTTTTCTTAAATTCTTCCAGGATTTGAGGGGCTGCCACAAAGAAGAGGGGGCTCAACGTATCCTGCAAGGAATCTGAAAGCAGGAGGAGAAGCAATGGATGGAAGCTCATCAGTCAATCAGACTAGAGCTGGAAGGGGCCTTGGAGGTCTTCTAGTCCAACCCCCTGCTCAAGCAGGAGACCCCACATGTTTTCTAGAAGGAGGAAATCTCCTAACTGAGAAAAATTGGCCTGGGGAACGGCTGCTCCAACCAACCATGGAGGTTTTCAGAAGAGACAGGCAGCCACTTGTCCAAGGACTTCCAGCTCCGTTACTCAAATATTCTGTAAAATCACTTTAAAAACTTAAATCCAACGTCAAAAGGTTCACTTTTTCATGCTGCTGGTGGCCCTCAATTTCTTGAGCCCCTTCTCCAAAAAAGTGGATTTTGAGCCTCTCTCTTCCCATCCTTGTCTGCCCTGGAAGCCGTCTCTTGGCCTCACTTTCTCTGCATAAACAAAGTTGTTTACTCCGGGGCTGGGCTGAGCACTTGGGCTGCTCTCCTGGGGCTCCAGGTTTTTATCTCACCGCATTGTTTGCCCGCTTGATCTGCGGCCAGAAGACCCAGGAAGGCAGCTTTGGATGTGGTGCCCACCGGGCCGTCTTGCATTCTGGGCAGCTGGAGGGAGTTTGGTGGAGGCCGTGGGCGAAACTGGTGCACAGGAGATGCTTCCCAGGTTTCTCCTCTGCCTGCCAAGCCTCCTGGCATTGCCTGGAAATGAGCTGATGCAGGAAGAGGCCCTGCATGCCAAGGGCCTCCTTTAGAAGGGCACAATGGTGCCCCCCCGCCCAGCTAAGTTAACTGCTGAGAAGCCCAAGGAAAGGAAAGAATTAGGGGAGGCACGATAACAGTTTTCTAATTGAGGGGCTGTCAGAGAAAAGGGGGATCAACAAGAAGCAGCGGATGGAGACTAACCAAGGAAAGAAGCAACCTAGAACTATGGAGAAATTTCCTGACAGAACAATTAACCTGTGGAATGGCTTGCCACCAGAAGTTGTAGGTGCTCCATCACTGGAGGTTTTTAAGAAGAGATGGGATAATGTTTTGCCTGGAATGATCTAAGGCAGTGATGGTTGACCTGTGCAGCACCGAGTGCCGGAACGAGCACGCTGGAGCCCGGAAGAGAGCAGCTGGCCGGTGCGCGTGCGTGTGGTGGCCAGTTGCCCTTCTGGGTTCTGTCGTGCGGCTGCGTGCCAGCCAGCTGTGTTTTCCAAGTTCCTGGAAGGGCAGCTGGCAATGGCATGTGTGCGCACAGAGAGGGTTCTGTGTGCCACCTCTGGTACCCGCGCCATAGGTTCGCCATCAGGAGTCCAAGGTTTCCTGCTTGAGCAGGGGGTTGGACTAGAAGACCTCCAAGGCCCCTTCATGAATTTAGGATTTTGTGATTGCCCCCAAGTCTCCCAACAGACTTACATGCTGAGGCAGGACTAGAACTCACCGTCTCCTGGTTCCTAGGCCAGCGCCTGAACCGCTGGAGCCAACAGGCAAGCTATGGTAATACGCTGGGAATGGAGCTGCCTCATCTCTTCCACGGTACAAGAGATTCTCATCTGAGCTTGGTGGTCCAGGATGGGAGACCACCAGGAGATCCCAGAACTCTGGGGGGTCTCGTGGGAAATTTTAAAAGCTGCACAAAAGGCTGGCCAACCATTTCTATATAGGCCTCTGCCAGAAGTCAGTTGGAGCAGAGATCCGTTCAGAGGAAAGTTTATATCTGTATTTATCTGTTTACTTATGTACCGGTATAGGTAGTCCTCCCCTTACAACACTTCATTTAGGGACCATTCAAAGTTACAACGGCACTGGAAAAAGTGACTTATGACCATTTTTCACACATACGACCGTTGTAGCATGCCTAGAGTCACGTGATCAAAATTCAGATGCTTAGAACCAGCTCCTGTGTAGGATGGTCGCAGTGTTCTAGGTTCAGGCGATCCCCTTTTGCGACCTCCTGACAAGCCGAGTCAGTGGGAAAGCCAGATTCACTTAATGACCATGTTACTAATTGCAGTGATTCACTCAACAACAGTGGCAAGCAACATGGAACCAAACTCACTCAACAACTGTCTCACTTAACAACAGAAATTTTAGGGTGGATTGTGGCCGTATGTTGAGAATTTGTATCTTGCCTGTTCTTTTTACAAATAATTCAAGGCGGGGAGCCTATCCAACACCCCTTCCCCCTTACATCGGTTTAGATCCAGGGTATCTTCTACCGCTTCAGTAGTTTGCAAATGGTTTGGTTTTTCGGAATGCCGCCTCTCCCGAGAGCCTCGTGACAGATGGAAAAAGTTACGGTTTGGAAAAAAAGAATTTTGATTCAATCATCATAAAGCCTCGGTGTAATTTTACAAGGATTATTGTGTTGTATGCAACATAGTCTTGCAGCTCCTTTCTTTGGGCCCCTCAAAACCACAAGCTGGATCTGCAGCCATCTCTCCGTCCATCAAAGTGGGGAGGAATCTGGATCTCACTCAAAGTCACACAAATTTCTGCAAGCTTTCGAGGTTTCCTCCGGGAAGACGGTAAACAAAGAGAAAGTTTGTTGGGCAAACCGCCAAAGATTTAATCTCGGCTTGCAAGCAAAACAGCTGTGGCCTTGATGAGGTACTGAAGGAATGAGTCCAGAAAGCCAGTCTCTGATTTAAGTAATATTCTGGTTCCTATCCAGGAAAAAAACAGAGTGGTGGCTGTAATAATATTGCATTTAACACAAAGGTAAATGGAGGTTTGCCAAAAGGAAAAAAAAGAGTTTTATTTCCAAGAGTAGGTTTCTACTTGCAAAGGAGTGGCTTTGATTATCCTTTTTATCCTGGGGTTGTCTATGTTTGTATGTATTTATTTATATATAACCCTCTTTTATTTTTACAAAAAGCACTCAAGGCGGTGAACACACCTTTGGCCTCCTGTTTTCCCCACAACAACAACAACCCTGTGAGGTGGGCTGGGCCGAGAAGGAGGGACCGGCCCAAAATCACCCAGTTGATACAGTCATATCTGACATCAGAAGAAGAAATGCTTTAAAAGGAGGGGATTATTAAGAAAGGAGGTAGCAGGCAAAGCCCTTCCAGAACAAGACCCCCATTTTCCCATCAGGGAAAAGTCAAGCTGTGATTGTGGGGAATAGCAGAATAACAAGAGTTGGGAGGGACCTTGGAGGTCTTCTAGTCCAACCCTCTCCTCAAGTAAGAAATCCTATACCATTCCAGAAAAATGGTTGTCCAGTCTCTTTTTAAAATTCTTGACTGGATTGAGACTAGGCTGGAAACATTTATGCCAAAGCTTTCTGGCCTTCTTGCCTCCTATAAATGTTCGGGGCACCGAGGACTTGGCCGCAGCCTCTGGGCAGCAGGCAGATCCTGAGGCAAGTCATGCCCACAACCAGCTTTTTATCTGCATTGTTGCATTTTATGGCACTTCATGTTTTAATTAAAAAATTGGAGCTGAGGGTTGGAATGGAGGGTCCTTGGTGATCTCTGAGTTGGGTTGTTTTCTTGCAGAGGTTTCATGACCCAAGTAGGGAACATCATCAGTGCTACAAGGGAGAGGAGTTTATGGAGGAGGAGGAGAATTATGGGGTCCTTGGTGCTCTCTGAGTTGGGTTGTTTTCTGACAGATGTTTGATGACTCAACCAGGGAACATGATCAGTGCTAGAGATGATGCTGGCACTGATGATATTACCTAGTTTAGGTCATGAAATGTCTGCAAGAAAATTGCAAAGCTCAGAGAGCACCAAGGACCCCACAGTCTCCTGCTCCTCCTGCTCCTCCTCCCCCCTTCTAGCACTGATGATGTTACCTGTTTAGGTCATGAAAGGTCTGCAAGAAAATCATCCAGCTCAGAGAGCACCAAGGAGCCCCTAAAGGGCTAAAAAGACATTTAAGTTTTTCCTGAAAGTGATTTCCGAAGAGGAGGAAGGCTCCCCTTGGACCAGGGACCCATTTTATTTCTAAAGGAAATCTTTTGGGAACCCCCCCCACTTAAAACTTCCTGTCTCCGTGGGCAGTTGGCCCGAGACCCCGGTGCTCCGATGCCACCCTGGAGGCTGGCCGTGGAAGGGCCAGGCTGCCACCAGCAGCCACCTGTGCCTCCCTGCCTCCCCGGAGATGCCGCCGCCCGGGCGTCCTTGTGGCAACCCGGCCCCCCGGGGGTTGGCAGGTGGGCTCCGGGGCTCCTCCCGGCGCAGGAAAAACAAGCCCGGCGGCCGTCGGGGCAGCTCAGGCCGAGCGCGGGCAGCGGACAGCGGCGGTGCTGATGGCGGGGAAGCTGCGCTGAGTCGCGGGGAAGGGGCGCTTGGCGGGAGGGGCCGGAGCCCCCCGGGGAGGGCGCGATGGCGACGGAGTACGAGGGCATCTCGGTAAGTGCTGGGGGGCTGCAGTCTCCCCGAGGGGCGTCCGGGGCCGGAGGGCTGCGCGCTCTCGGCATTGTCGGCTGGAAGCCCCCCCGCCCCCAGGCCGGGACCAAGGGGCCCCCACGTCCTCCCTCGCAGCCCCTGCCGTCATTGCAGCCCGTGGCCCCGCTTTTTTCCACACACGAG